CTTAACTCAACCCCCCCCTGTACTCATTTCATCCTCCGCCTGCCCCCCCCCCCATCTACCTCCTTTCCTGAAAACCTCCATTTACTATGCTGCGCTCTTCGTCTGCTTGCCTCCCTCCTTTCCTCTCTCCTCCCTCTTCCAGCCTCCTTGTAATCCCTCTCTCTTCCTGCATCACAGGTGAATGTCCTTTAGGGAGTGGGGAGCAGTGTGGAGAACAGTTCTCGTCTTCTCTGTCTCAGCCCACATCTCCCCCCCCACACTAATGTGTTTTCTCTCTCCTCTGTTCCTTCCCCACCTTTCCTGTCCCATTAACCTCCGGCTTCCCTCCCATCCCTCCTCTCCCCCCTTCATGACTCATGTCCACTGTGCTCCCCACTTGCCTCCCTTCCACCCCAATGTTTTTCCTCATTTCCCCCTCCCCCTGCATTGACCCCTCATCCCCTCTCTCCCTCCCTGTTTCCCTCCCTCCTGTCCTCCTAAAATAATTTTCCCACAACCCCTCCCTTGCCTTCCCTCCCCTCTCGGCCCTCCATCTCTTTCTGGACCCACAGAGCAGCGCCAGGATCAACATCTCAGAGGGCTCCTGTCCAGAGAGGATCATCACCATCACTGGGCCGACAGACTGCGTGTTCAGGGCCTTCACCATGATCACGTTCAAACTGGAGGAGGTAGATACGTGCACACACACACACACACACACACCTGTGGTGTCCCACAGCTGCTCTATATGAAGTACATAACCTTTAGCTACTTGGCAGAGAACAGTTATTATACAGTCTACAACAGAACTGGGTACATGCCTGGTGTACCATACCATCCATTTAGTACAGGTGTAATTCTTTATTGAGCCCAAGAAAAATTAATGTGAAAGACGTAGATGTTTGACTAAGACCAGCACCAGCTAGGAACCAACTGCAACAGAACTCATCAGTGAGATTCCGTTCCTTTTTCTTCTTCTGTCTGCCTTTATTTTTGCCCAGTGCTCCTGGGCAGGATGATCCTGGTCTTGGGGCTTGTTGCTCTTCAGCTGTAAAATAGTCTAAAGGCATTTGACTGGAATCAAGTCAGTGACCCTGAGGAGCACGTTGACCCCAGCCTTCTTCAGCAGGTCACTTACACCACATGACGACTGGGATAGAAACACTGTCCATTTGAATTAGTCTGTGGTGTGGAGTTGAAGCTGGTTGCAAATAATATTGCACCCGCAACTTTAAACTTGTTGATAACTAAAACTAGCAGCCTCTGTCTGCACACACGGTCAGTATTTGCCCCCTGTGGCAGCAGGTACAGCTTCCAGTCTTCTTGGCTCAGTCTCTACAGGCTTTGCACACCCGGGCATGGGCAGTTTATCCTGTTCTTCTTGCAGATCCCCTCCAGTTCCATCAGATCGGATGAGAAATATTTGTGAACTCCTTCCTCAGGTCTCCCCACAGATGTTTAAGACCAGACTTTGACTGGGGCCCTCAGGGACAGTCTTGGCTGTTTGCTTCTGGTCACTGTGGTGCTGAAAGGTCTCGGGTTTTCTTCTAGCACCTCTCTGTGTCTGGCTGCTTTCATCTCCCTGTCCCTGCTGCTGAGAACCCCCCCCCCCCCCCGTTTTGCCCTGTTCGTACCAGCCGAC